ACAGAGAAAATTAGCATCAAGTTATGAGCATGTGAACTACTGATAAAATACACTAATCTGTACAAGGCTCATTTTTGAAAAATCACATTGCTTGCTGTTCAACTTGGTGTCTGCTATGTCTAGGCTCACCTTCAGGCTTCACACTTGAACTTTTTCCCTCCTACAGGCAAAAAAAAAAAAACAAAAAACAAAAAAAAAAACACAATAGTTTTGGTCTTACTGGTTTCTTACATCTGCTACTGAGCCAACTGCAAATTTATTCATCTTTCTACTGCAGCCTCAAAGCACATCACAGTTACTGAAAGCATCCCACCTTGCAAAAACTGGATCACAAAATTGACAGAGTAGTTATAATTTAGAGAACTAGAAACTGAGCCCAGATTTCCTAGATCATCAACTAGTTTCCTTTAACATCAGAATACTGATGTTATGTCAGAAATCAGTTGAAGCTGCAGTCTTGCAGTCTTTGCTTCTGCACAAGTTGTTCCAAAGGTTAACAATACTTAGAAGAACAGACTAAGGATGAATGTGGGGAATGATGACAGTATCATATCTCTTGACTTACTATTAGAACATGATGAAAGTGAATACTGGAACACTCACAGGGGACAGAGATCTACCAATTAAAATCACAGCAAAGCAGGGAACCCTAGGCTAATTCTGGCCGACCTGGAACAAGTATCAGAAGCAGGATGGTAGTGTTGATGGTAGGTTGGTAAGAACATGCATGATCATCTCACTACTGAGAGATAAACAGTTAGGTAGACCATCATTACTGTGCATTCATTACCACTCGCCACCAGCAGATCAACCCAGCCTTCAACTTACACCACTCAGATGCTCGTTACAAGTTTTCCCAGTCTTCACTATTATAACCAGCTAAGTATCATTGACAGTGGTTTGGGCTGAATTAGCAGTCTTTGTTATATTCAGTCCTCACTAGCATTAATTTTATCAACTGTACGATTGTCGCCCCCCAAGATTATTGGTAGGGAAGTACTGTTTAAAAAAAAGTTTGAATCAAAAAACTATTTGCTGACATGCTACGTAGCTGGGAGTTGCAAAATTAAAGAGTAGAATAAGTATCAGCCAAATCTCATTGAATCTTCTGTCTCTCCTTCAAAGACATTTCCACGACTTTAGCTTCTACTGCAAAACAGTGCTTTTCAGTGACCAGTCTGCATCTCCCAGTTTGAGTAGAATTCACTCCTTATTATAAGGACAAGAATTTCTCTTCCAAAACAGTTAACAGTTTGAGACCTAATTCCAACTCTTTGAAGTTATTACAAGACAGTTCTGGTGAGATGGAAAAGCCTGCCTCTCCCCTAACACTCTTCCCCCTTTGACACTTTTACTACTATATAATAAGAACAAAACAAAAACAATGAGGCATACATAATTTAAAACTGATTGTATATAAACTGTATATTGAGACAAAAAGTAATCAAAACTGAGTTCATAACTCACAAAACCTCTTAGGAAGAGGATGAGAAAAATCAGAACCAAACTCTGCTGTAACAAAATTGCAACTGAGCAAATAATGCAGTTATACAAAATCAGTGAAGTCTCAGCTGCAGAAAGATAGCCTGGCTAGCTCATTCCTTGCCATTATTGGAATCAGGAGGGCTGGCAGTTCTGCAGTTCCTCCACTGTCTCAGTCCCTTTAAATGTGTATTCACCTCAGCAAGAATATGGAAATCTAGGAGTTTTAAGCTCTTTTAATCCTCAGTTTCACATGGCTTTAACTGGGATGGAATTATTTTTAAAAATTGTATCAAATATTCATTTAATAGCTGTAACATCCAAGTACATAGATTCATTCAAGCCTTTAGCTTCCTGCATGGTGAAAGCTGGCAGAAGCCACTTGAACACAGAGAGAAGACAAAATGACATTAGCAAAAAATACTGACAAGTCATTCCATTACAGCTTCCTAAGTTTAGGTTATTCCACTCCTCTCCATTAGTTTAAACTATACTGCTTTGTATGCCAAGTTTCTAGTTTTATTTTTTTTTTTTAATACCTCCTCTCTATCCTAGATAAAGAATGCCTTTAAGAAATGGCTTTTTAATTGATTTTTAAGGAGGTTAAAAGGAAGGCTTGCCTTTTCTCCAACCTCTTTATGCCAAAGAGATCAAGGTGGACTGTATTTACAGACCTTACCATTAAATATTCTTTAGTTACAGTTAACAGTATATGGATGGGAGGGGTACTCCTTAGGGTTCAAATTCCTGTTCCACACATTTTTGTTGTTTTCAATGACAAGTATAGCTTAAAACGCAACCAGGATTTTAATTTGGAAACACTGATGTCCCTACAAGGAAGAGATCAGAGGCTTCTAAACTCACATTCATGGTTGTCCATAAACAGCAGGATCTCGCAGCAAAGAATCTGAGGCAGAAAGAAGTACAACAAATATCTAAAACCTTTGCCCAGTGTAGAATCTAAAAACATCATTAAAATAACAAGCAACAAAAACAAGGTTTTGTTCTACAGCGTTTTGGAATTCACTCCTGTGAGAACAGGAAAGTTATATGCTCCAGTAAGATTAAGATTGGTTTAACAGAGATTAAATTTACTAAATACTTCAAGTTTTCTTTAACTAGTTAGAAAGAAAAAAAATACACTCATTCTGACTGCAGCTTTTATGAATAAATATATAACTGATCCTTACTGTACTTAGCAGATGAGATAGCAGTGAGGATTTACATCCTGGCTAACTCACACAATGTATCCAAACCTAGCAGTACACTGCACCAAATCGAACAGTTCTTAAATCATAGCAAAAGAAGAATGGAACTGCATTAGGGAAGGCTAAAGACCTTAAGTGCAACAATTTTATCCTCAGCCTATTGAGTTCCCAACTGCTCTGTTAAATCAGACAAGATTAGATCATCTACACTATAGTACTGCTGCACTGGTTATCATGACCTGGACTCAACCCTCCTACCTTCTGATACCTCACTGGTCTGTGTAAATCCAAATCCTACATGCTCCCAGCTCCCTATGAAGGGAAAGGAGACAGAAAAGTCACAAAGTGTTCAGAATTCAGGCTACTTACAGAATTATGAAGACAGGGCTCTTAATTTGACTCTGATAAACCTGTCTTAGCAGTTGCCCAGAAGTCTCAGTAATCATGTTGCATTAGAAATAGCACTCTGCAATCCTGAAAACAAACTTAAGCTTGAAAAAAACCCTGGATGCCATTTAAAAAACGGGAAAATACCATTCAGAAAGATCGAGACTGAGTATTATTTACCTTCTTAAGTGTTTTTAAATTAACAGCATCATTGTTGTATCAGGCACATGATTGATATTTGTCTGTGTGCAGTATCTTTCACATTTTACAGTGTGATTTCATACTCCAATATCTGAAGTTACTTTGATACAGAAATACAGAACAAACTGTTATTCAGGAACGCAAATTTCAGAGGTGTGGTGTTGAAAACCAAGAAATCAGTTATTCTATATTATGTACCAGGTACAACAACTTCTGCTCTTGACGAGCTATAACACATTTTTAAGACTTTAGAACAAACTGATGTTTGGTCAATTGAATGCAAAATTATGAAGTGACACATGGCAAATTACGTGGTATATTTTGGGGTAACTGTAAGAGGTGTTAATGACTCTCCTCAGTCTGTTTTAAGTTGGATTTTATAATACACCAACAGCCCACTAATCTCCTGCCTTCAAGTGAAAAACATAAAACATTTCTGCTGAATCGATCCCTTGTTATTCATTTCAAAGGGAATTTCTCCATAGTAGAAGTGAATCCCCAGTGATTCTACTGTCACTTTACGTAAGTCAGCTCAGTACACATTGACATTTTGAGCAACAAGGAATACTACTCAGTTATTCAGCATGCAAGTCACCTTAATTTGATAGGCCTCTAATCTGACCTACTCATCCAGACAATAATGGATGAAAATAAAACGAGTTGCTCAATGGAGATGTCTTTCTATTTTAAATGTCTTGGAGCATCTTCTAATCTCTGTTGACTATAGAACCTAAAAGCCTAACTTAGACTGTCTTAAGTAAGATTTCAACATTTTAAGTTTGTTGTTGTTAGCATTAATAGTACTGCTTACACCCAAGTAATTTTAGCTACCAGTATAAAAATAATTAGCATCATGTACACACAATTGTGTCCATTTAATTCCTGTGACAGAGGTAGCGGGTTTATTACCAATAAATCTCTCCCTCAAAAACAAAAAGAGACTCAAACTGAAAGGCTATCATTCTAAAAATCCTGTTTCCAAAGGCTGGCTAGATTGCTCTTCTACAGTTCTCTATTTGCATGCTACAAATGGAAAACTGCAAGTCCTCTCCTTTGTTGGGCAACTAATGAATCTGATCTGTTTCAGTCTGTGGCCTATGGCACTACACAATTTTATTCCATAACTCTGAATGTCAAGTGTTACTCCCTGTGCATCTAAAACCCAGCCAACACATCCTGTGGGAAAGAGGAAAATGCTGGCCGCCATAATTACAAATACTTCATTGTTATATTACAATATGCTTATTTACATAAATGCCCTCTATTTATCTTACTGATCAGCCCAACCACAACAAAATTTGCATTTAAATAGTACTACTATAATTAACATCAAGTACCTGGGCTTATTTTCAGACTTTTATTTCCATGTATAACAGGCAAGAAAAAGCTTTCTCTACTCAGAGAACAAAAGATCAGTAGGAGATAATAAGCTGAGCAATTTCTCAGAAGTTTGTTTATTTAAGTTCTCCAGAGGCCCCGTGCTTTTCCCTGCTCTAAAATATGTTGGCAGTTAAAGAAACAAAATTAGATTCATGACCTTACACCATCTTTTAACAAAGACAATATTGCTTGTAGATGGCATTCCTGAGTAGAAGTGTCACAGGCAAAGAGTTATATTAAACATCAAATGGCACTAGGTAGTGCATTTCTTGATCAGGACAACTATCATGCCCATAATCATACAAAGAACAGGAATTAAAAAAAAAAAAAAACGAACAACTCAAACTTGACTTTCAGTGGAAGGAGGCACTGTCGATTTAGAACTCAGATGGCTGTGGGAAGCGGTACTGTATTTTCTCATGGGAGTGTCCTGCTGCAGGAAGGGGACTGGGTCATACTTCATGTAAGATATGAGAAAAAGCAGAACTTTCCATTCTTCACAGACAACAGCAGCCCCAAAAAGAGACAAGAAGAACAAATTAGGGACCAAACCTCACCACCTGCCAGAATTAGAATAAGTCCAGTGAGCAGCTTTCTGCATTCAGGCAATTTAAGAACACCCCCCTCTGAATACCAATTTGCAGTGAATTCATAGCCTCACTACCTGAAAGCATCACACAGACCCACATTTTGCTGCAGAAAAGATGCCAATTATAAACCACTCTGTCATTTCAAAACATCTGAAACAAAAGGAGCTAAAGAAAGTTTTGTTTCCTACAGTTCTGGAATACCATGTGAATCATTGTTGGGATGAAGAATAGGAGTGCAGTAATGATTATGGGATAATGATTGGTTTGTTTCGGGTGGTGGTTGGTATTTTCCCCCCTACAGTTTTCTTCACTGCATTTCTCTTCCATAAACCCACAGAAGCATATCAGTGCTACATGACAAAACTTCCAAATGAAACATTAGAATCAGATAAAGAGGTAATTTTGAGAAGGACAAAAACCATAGAAATATTCACAAAGGAGAAAGCCTGGGAGGGTGGGGAAGGGTGTATGAACACAGCTGAGCTGCTTCAGCTAGCACCATTTCCCACAGCACCGGTACACAGAAGGCAGAGGGGGTGCAGCTCACTGCCTGCAAGGTGAGGCTGAGCACAGCTGGTCGGCAAGGGCTGAGAGTGTCATAAGGATGGGAACAATCAGTAATTTCTAATTGGTAATACTCCACAACAGTTGTCAAACATCTCCTGAAGCGCTCAAGGTGGGGAAGGCAACCTCAGAACAAAGAGTACACAACCTTCAGACTGACGCACAGGACTTTTATACAACTCTCCTTGTTAGCTTCATTGTCGAGTGAAAACTGTTTCTCTGAACTGAATGAGAGCGATCTGTTTGCTCAAATGCTTTAGTACCTGATGAGGGGAAAATGCCTCGTGACCCCTTAAATGAACTCAACCCAACCTCAGAGTATCAACAGCATATATATTTGAGTTCTTATTTTTTCTATTCAAACAAAGAACTTTTCTAAAAGATACAAAGTTCCACAAGTAAAGATCAACTGGAAAAGGTTTCCAAAGACATCTCAAAAACAAACATTTACATTTTTGCAAGAAGTTTACTAATTAAGATTTTATGAAGATAAAGATACAGACAACACTTACAAGCCTTAGTCCTCAGATGAACCTGAAAGAGAAGAAAACGTCAGAATACATTTTTCAGCCACTTCACCAATCCCAAGAGGATCTGCCTTGCCCAGTGTAAGAGCTACTGCAAGGGAGCTCTAACACGAACCCTCTTTTAATAACCATTTTTGGAACTGCTGCCTAAATGGGGTGCATTGAAATGTACTGATTTTCATTCTGTGTACCTGCTGAGCCAGAGACCATGCAAAAAGCACCATTTGCTCAATCTCTTTTCTCTAGCCAGAGCAAGCAGCTGTACAGGTAGCCTAGTTTCAAGATGTCAGTTCTGGAAGTCAGGCTGTACTTCAGTGGGAAAAACAAATGAAATATAAACCGAGGATCCAGTTTCAGAGCATAACTCTGCATAACTTTGTTCCAGTAAAAGTTAGAACAACCTGTTTTATCCCATTCCTTTCATTTTCATACAGGAACAAACCCATATTGTACAGCTCATCAGATTATCACATATCCCATGCACAAGAAGGTAGGTAAAAGGGTCAGTACTCAAGAATAAAATTTCACTTCAGCCCCAAACATACAACCTAACAAACAAAAAAAAAGACAGCTCCAGGATGATGTTCCCTGACATTTAAAATGCCAGCTGTTCCTTAAATATCACTGGGAATCTGACTCTAGTAACCTGGAGTCAAAAGACCTGTAAGACCTCAGTGTAAAGTGAAGTTCACTGAGGACAACATTCTGTTCTTATTATTATTAATCAGTATAATGTCCAAGATAATTTAAAAGGCCCTTTTGAATGTGACTAGTCTAATTTATATTGTGTCTTCCTATTAGGAAATAGCGCCCGAGACACCAGAAACAGAAACTTAAGTCTCATTTATATGTCACATAAGCATGTTGGTGACAAAACTCTTATTTAACTGAAATGTAAAGGCCAGTGAAACTATCAGTGTTTCCCCTTACCTGTGTGAGAGTCTGTTACATTTTCACTTAGCAGACTTTATCAGGAGCTAGACCCAAGAGAGCTTAAGTTGGTTCAAAACAGCTTCAATAAATGCTTCAGGTCTTTTATAGATGGTCTAGTTTTTCAGCCACCATCTTAAAGGTATCTAGTCACTCAAATTGAAGCAATTTGTATCAAGCCAAAATGGCCACTTAACTACCTCACTGCCTACTAACCTGTCAGTTCAAAGTCCTACTAAAAACTATGACAAAAAGCAAATATTCTCCTCTTCTGTACATGATTCAGTTCTACTTTTTTTTTTTTTTTTTAAAAAAAAAGCCCTTGTATCTTTCAGTTGGGATGCTAATGGATACAAGAAAACTATCTGTCTTGTTTCCCCGAGTTACTGCAAGTCAATGTACTTGCCAGTTCTGACAAATACAGTAGTGCTTTTTCTATTGAGATATGGAATTCAGTTGCAACTTGAACTATTGTGTTTTGAAGTCCCCCATTTTCCCACTAGTCACAATGAAATGATTCATTAATTCACTCCAACATCTCAGGCGAGGTATTGTGGAGTAACCAGTTTCCATTACTGCAAATGAGCACATCAAGAGCCTGAGGGATAAAAAGTCTGTGTGTGTGTGTGTGTGTGTGTGTGTGTGTGTGTACACACGCATATAAGCTGATGATTTTCACTTTTTATAGTAGAGGAAAAATGTTCTTTACAGAAAATGACCACTCATTTAAAGAAGTCTGAGATCATCATCTACTACTTACCTTATAAAAAAAATAGTAAATTACCCTCGTTTGGTCTGTTTTCATCCAGCTATAAAAAGTTCACTTCAGACTCATCCTTCTGACATAGTGAATTCAAATAACTCCCTTTTGGCTTTGAGAATTCTGTTCTCTTGTATCATGAGTTAAGACAATACAATCATGAAACTTTATGTAAACATGAGCGTAAGCATTATACCCAGTAGTAATAATTTATTTCCCAGTTTCTGGATCTCATTCTTATTTGGTATTTAATCAGTCAAATTGCCTTCATCCAGACAGGATTCTAGTGGCCAAATCACTTTTCTGTCACTCACTTCACCCCTTGCACATTATGTCCTGTATGCAGGGTGACACCTCACTCATTTTCATACCATAAGAGTCCCCAGCAACACCAATCAAGTCTAATCTCTATGTGGTTGATGGCAGGACTCTGTACTGCTAGCACCAGTAATTTTGCTCATCTCTTCTGTAAAGAACCTAAATTTCAGCCTGATGAAGAAGAAATCCCAGGTCTAACGTATTACTCCCAAAGAAGTATGCAGCTTTGGTCTGCTGAAGTGCATTGAGGAATATGCGAGTTCCACAGAAAGATGCCTTGTGATAGTTTGTATGAACCTATGGACATGAAATGTGAATCTCCATAACTAAGGATTAAACCATCAGCATTATTTTGAATCACTTTAAGGATCCTGTGTGCAGGAAGATGATGATGGCCATACCACGGCTGAGAAAGCCAGTCTCTTTTCAAAAGGCAGTTGCAAAAGCCAACGAACAGCCAAGGTTTCTCTTCATTGCGTTTGTGCAGGTTTGAGAATTCTCTAATCTGTTTACATTTAAAATTAAAAAAAAAAAAAGCTGACATGTTTTAAATTCCAATTCCTGAGATTTCACTCAGGGCACAGTGGTCCCTCAGTAATTTTGATATTTGGGTCCTGTGGATTCATCCTCTGAACTGCAGGCATCCTTGGAAGGCCTCAGGTCATTCAGTGAACAGGCCTCATAGCTGGGAGAGCAGAGATTAACGTCCCACTGGATATTAATTAACTTGCAGTTGCAAGCCTTCATAGCTCAAAAATAACTTTTTGTTGTTGTTTAGAAAGCAAGAGTGGTGTATTTTCACTAGAAGTTGTCAGAACTCCTGCATTCCCTATTTCATATTGCAAATTTCTTTCCTATGCTTAGATGGATTAAGCAAATAAGAAATGCTTTGCGTCTGGCAAAGGCAACTTGAAATGTACTGATTGAGTCCAGGTTGTTACTGAAAAGCTGCACAGTAGGACGTGCATCATAACAGCTCTGCCACAGTGGTGTCCCCAGGCTGAAGCACAAAAAAGCAATATTCCTGTTCTCATAAACACTGGGGCTGTACACATGAACCTTGCTGTAAAAAAAATTTGTGGTGCAAATTACAGAGTATAAATCTGACAAGACTTGAGCTATTGCTAGAAGTAATAAATGAGAGAATTAACATGACTACACATGGTGATGTTAGAAGTGCAGCCTTCCAGAGGAAGATCTAGAGAGCTGTAACATTCGCATTCGACTCTAAGGTCAGTTGAAACTGAATTAGGAAGTGGTTCAGGTGGGCAACTGCTGAAAAGCATGATTGCTTTTCATCATTGCTTGAGTGAGGCCACTAGAAGAGCATTTCCTAAGGACCTGACACTGGCCAGGTTATGCTCCTACAGCAGCCTCATTGGTAATGGCTTAGCAGACAGTGCCCTCAGCTTGTTCAACTGCCACTAGAATAATGAATAGCAAGATTTTAGAGTAAAAGTTCAGCTTTGTGATTTCCAGTCAGACTGGAAGAGATCAGGCTCTGCAAGACTGTCTTTTAGGCATCTTTTCAGTTAGAGAATAGCTTCTGGTATTACAAGTGCGCTCTTTGTACACAAGTTTTCATATCCTCTTGAATTATATTTCTAAAGGTAGTGAAAGACAACCTAAACAAAGCACACTGATCTTTTTGAGTTCACTTTTTCAAGTTCTGAGTACTATTTCTATAGTTTGCTACACTGGCATCAGCCTGTTCCTCAGAGTTACAATGACTGGTTCATCCCCAGGCTGAAGCTTTTGAAAGACTAAACAGCCAAGATGAATTGTTTATTTTTTCTAAGTGGTTATTTGGCTCAAGTAATCTCTTCTCTACAGTGAAATACTGTTAGAAAGATTTAAGAAGTGAAGCACAGATATTAGGAAAAATTTCTTCTCAGGAAGAACGGTGAGGCACTGACACAGGCTGCCCAGGGACGTGGTGGAGTCATCATCCCTGGGGATGTTCAAGAAACATAGAGATGAGGCACTGGGGGATGTGGGTCAGTGGGCATGGTGGGAATGGGCTGATGGCAGGACTAGGTGATCTTAGTCATCTTTCCCAACCTTAACAATTCTATGATTCACAGTCACAGAAACCAGGAAGAGCTCAAGTATTCTATTTGTATATTGCTTTATATTTGTAGCACATCAGAAGCATGAGTGACACCCTACACAAGCATTCCTATAGCATGAAAAAGTATTTGTGAAGAAAAGAAAAATATCCAAATGCCTTAGAATCCACTTGGGGTGAAAGGAAAGCACAATTCCGCGAATAATTACAAAGCACGTGCTTAGGCTCTACTACAGATGGAAGGTACCCTGCACTCATAAGAGAGAATCAGGAATATATTTTCAGCAATTTAACCAAAGCTCGATCATAAATAAGACAGCAATATAAAATTTGAGATGGCAAAGTACACTTGTTTATTTACATAGAGGGTAGAGTTAAACACACTCATCCAGGAGGAACTCCTGTTTAGTCTCAAGGTTCAGAGTCAACATCTTTTCTTTCTAAACTCCTTCTCAGAGGAGTCTAGGTGCAGCTGAACCCACTCCTAGTCCCAGATTTGGTCAACAATTGCTACCAAAAAGCAAAGAGGATTTCCCATGGAATCACAAGGTTTAGAGTAGGACCCCCCCCCCCCCAATTTCCAAACTCCTTGAACCAGAGATAAGGAGGCCCAAGTGCTGCCAAACTCATACCTAGTCATGGACTTGTCAACAGTTTAAGTGATTACATGTGCACAAAGATATAATCTTAGCATAGCTAACAAAGTGTTTAAATGAACTATAAGTCATTCAGTGAGGATACGTATTACCAAGGAGTCTGCTCCAGTACTTCAGCTATTGCATTTTCTGCTGTAGTCTAACAGAAAAGCACATTTGAAGTCAGAATCGTTCTCTGCCTACAGTGTTTCCACTTCCAGCCATACCAGAGCACAAACATCATCCTTTCTTCACTTCCATGGCACATCCCTACAGTTTCTCCTCCCTCATTACAT